GGAGGTTGAGCAACCGGGGAAAGGAAAGGCGAGTGCGCCTCGGGGGTTCACAGGCCGCTGCCCGAGCGCGCGCGCGCCTTGGCCAGGGCTGCGCGACCCGTCCGTGTCCCCCGCCGCGTGGACGTGGAGTCCCGGGAAGGGACCGGACCAGGTACCATCTGGGACCCCTCGGGCCACTGCCCTTCCGCACACGGACCTCGCTCCACGCGGGACGCTCGCTCGCTCGGCGAGGCCGCGTCCCGGGAAGGCGGGCCCCCATCCCCGCCGGGCGTCCCGATTTGGGTGGAACTTCAACCCCGGCGATCTCGGGGCGATGATGGGAAAACCTGCGAAGTTCTTACAGGACTGGGTCTCTTTTCCTCTTTTATGTTACATTGTTTCCTCCCGGGCCGTCTTCCCCTTTTTTTTCCTTTTTCACTTTCACAGGCGGCCGGGTTTGCAAAAGTGCGGAGTTGAAACAAAGTATCGGGATCGAGAGAGAGATCCCTTTCGCTTCCTCGCCCAGCCCGGAGCCTGGGGAGCCTTGGGGAGCCTTGGGGAGCCTTGGGGAGCCCTGGGGAGGGGGCTGCTCAGAGCCGGGGTTGGGGCTGGAGTGTCTGGGCCAAGGGCCTGGTCCCGGTGGCCGCCGCCCCACCCGCGAGGTGCTGGCTGCAAACTTCCTCCCGAGAGAGAGGCGGGGGTGTGGGGTGTGCTTGCTTCTGGCCCCCGGGCAAAGGTGGCCGCTTTGGGACTTTGAAAGGAGTTGCAAAGAAATCCGAAGTGGTTTCTGCTGGCGGCTCGCTCCCGGCGGCGGGATCGGTGGCTTTGCCGGCTTGTGTGCACCGGGGGTCGGTGCCTGTGTGTTTCACAGAAGACTTGGGAGCTATTTTTTAAATTTCAAAATATATATCTATATATATGCATATATTTTTAAAAAGATGCCTGGCTTTCTCGCTGGAGTTCTCTAAGGAACTCCTGGGCACAACCGAAGTATTTTTTACTTTGTGTCTTTCCTGGTGGACTTTGCCCGCCCGCCCGTCCCCACCCGGGGCGCCTTTCCCTGCGGGGACGGAAGGCGACCCGGGAAGCTCACCCGGCGTGTGTGTGTCTCTTTCTGCCTCTTCCCTTCCAGTGTCTCAGTTTAAGATGGTGAATTACTCCTACGACGAGGACCTGGAGGAGCTGTGCCCCGTGTGTGGAGACAAAGTGTCCGGCTACCACTACGGGCTCCTCACCTGTGAGAGCTGCAAGGTGAGGTCGGGGTGGTCACCTGAGATGAGACACGGGGGGCCTTCTGAGCCCAAACCAACCCCGGGGTGACTTCTTCGGGCGACCTGGAGCCAGGCTGTCTTTTTTTTATTTTTATGTTTATTTTAAGACTCAATTTAAAAAAAAACACACACGAGAGAGAGAGAGAGAGAGAGAGAGAGAGAGAGAGAGAGAGACCGTCCTAGGGAGAGGATTCTTAGAAATATGTGTCTCCTTTAATTCAAAGGGCAAAGAAATGGATGGTGTTTAGAAAACTTTGCCAGTCTCATGGCTTTCGGATAGTTTATGATGTCGCGGTAGGGAGCCTTCTATCTCGAACAGCCCCCAAATATTGATTCCGCGTGACTTATCTATATTTAAGGCATCGCTGTTGTCCGGAGGAGCCGTGACAAAGAGGCTCCCAAATACCTTGCCACTTGCGAGCCCCCCCCCACCCCCCCCCACCCCTGGGGGCTCAGAAGTGGGGGGCCAGGCATTCATTACCCACCGACATAAAAGTCTACCTTCCCAGCCTGATTTACTCCTGAAATAATTGTGGGGATTCCTGGGAATTTATATCGCGAGGAACAAAACAGGCCAGGTCTTCTCGTTCCCGATAGAGGTGTTTTCATAAATATAGGGCCCATTCCCATGGGAGGGAGGCACAGGCCACATGCATCACGCTGTTACTAAGATCAGCGAGACAGGGAGGGCTTGTCTAGACCTTTTCTATATATTCCCAGTCAATGGGATAGGCGCCGTTTTCCAACTTTTCTTTCTTTCTTTTTCTTTTTTTTTAAAAACGCAGAAAGCTGGGTACAATGACTTCAGCCCCTGCCAGGAAAAAAAAAAACCCTGGCTTCTCCGTCACAAAGTAAAAATTGTTTCACTTTATGGCCGGGAAGGATAAACAGAGAGACCGAAGCCACCTGGTCACACTGTTGCCATGTTATCGAGCCACCGCACTTCACAGTTTGATTAATTTTTTTTAGGGAAACACACACTTTTGTGTGGGACCTCGGGTCTCTGCTCTGTGCGCTTTCCCATTCGTTTCACTTTTTTCCTTTCTTTTTTTTTTCCAAACAGAGTTCTCATACTGGAACGCATTCCAGGGGAATTAGGAACGTTTCCCCCATTTTTACTCTTCAAATCCTTTTGCTTTTAACGACCTCGTGTTGACATTCGCAGGAGATCTGAGACCTTCTGCTGGCCAGGTTTTCCACTGGCTTTTTTTTTTTTTTGGCAGTAGTTTGTCCCTGAAATGGTATCAGACTCCCTAAGACCCTCTCTCTGGACTCGAAGGGTGTGGGGTGTGGGGTTGGGAGAGGAGAGAAACACTGGTCCCTCTAGAAGGTGTTTTTCTCTGAAACGTTGAGATGCGATGGTGTGTACGGAGCCGAATCTCCCCCAAGAGTGGCCGTCATGCTTCAGGAATAGGACCCCGGGGCCGGGGGGATCTCCAGGGCCTGGCGGGGAGGACGGGCCTCGGGAAACTGGCCAACAAAACCACAGACCCTCAGAAGGGCTCCCCTGGCACCGTGAGAGGGTGGGCTGTGGAGTCCCTGCCCGAGAAGCCACGGGAGAGACGGGTGGGCGGTGGGTATATAACGCGTCTCCCCGTGTCCTCTGTCTTCCAGGGCTTTTTTAAGCGGACGGTCCAGAACAACAAGAGGTACACGTGCATAGAGAACCAGAGCTGCCAGATCGACAAAACCCAGCGAAAGCGCTGTCCCTACTGTCGGTTTCAGAAATGTCTGAGCGTGGGGATGAAGCTAGAAGGTAAGGCCCCTCGCCACGCCGCTGCCTGTTAAGGCTGCCGGATGCCTCGCGTGTAACGCAACGTTGTGCTTCTACCGGAGGAACGTTATTTTCCTGGTCTTTTAACACCGCGGACGGGGGTGTCAGACTTTACGTTTCGTCCGCGTTACGAATAGCCTGTGTTTCGTTACAGCCCTTGTCAAGCCCACCAAGGAAAAAGTGTTCATATCAGAGTCGTGGGCCTCACCCCTCCTCGGCATTTTTTGTTGTTGTTCTTGTTAGTTTGGGGAGTTGCTGCATTTGACCCTCAAAATAAAAACAGGGTAGATGAAAGCGAGACTCAAGCCATTCAACTGAGAACAAATAAAAATAAGGTGGAAAAAAATCCTTTTTTTAAAGTTTTCAAATCAGAACGCCCCAGTCAAAGTTTGATTGGAATCTTTTTTTTTTCTAAATGTGTTTTTATTGATTTCAGAGAGGAAAGGAGAGGGAGAGAAACATCCATGATGAGAGAGAACCATGGATCGGCTGCCTCCTGCACGCCCCCCACTGGGGATCGAGCCCGCAACCCGGGCATGTGCCCTGACTGGGAATCCAACCGTGACCTCCTGGCTCATAGGTCAATGCTCAACCACTGAGCCACGCCGGCCAGAATGGAATTTTTTTTTTTTTAATAGGCTTGCTTGTCATAAGTGTAACAATCGATTACATGATTCCCGAGCAGGGATTAAACCCTTTACTTGTCAAAAGAGCTTTCTCCGGGAGGGTGTTGTTTGGGATAGTGTGGGAAAGCACTTTTTAAAATTAAGAGAATGGCCCTGGCTGGTTTGGCTCAGTGGATAGAGCGTCGGCCTGCGGACTCAAGGGTCCCAGGTTCCATTCCGGTCAAGGGCATGTACCTTGGTTGCGGGCACATCCCCAGTAGGGAGTGTGCAGGAGGCAGCTGATTGATGTTTCTCTCTCATCGATGTTTCTAACTCTCTATCCCTCTCCCTTCCTCTCTGTAAAAAATCAATAAAATATATATATATTTTTAAATGAAGAGAATGACGGAACCTGCCAGATGAAAATTTTTTTAAAAGTTGAGAAGCAGGAAACATGAAAAAATAACGAGCTCACAGACAGGAGACAGGAGCCTGCTTTCTTAAAAGCCACGTTAAACTTTATGTCGAGAGAGAGCGGAGACGGGCTGGCTGCGCGCACATTGGCAGGCGGCAGGGTTAACACGTGGCCGCGACTCATGACGCGTAATTCACGGACGCGGTGGCATGTCGCTGGTCTTCGGACTCCCGCCTGCTGACATTCTCAGGTGAAGTACATGACAGATAAAGTAGCAACGAGCCGTCTGTATCACCGGCATGTGCCAAGGACTAGTGTTTTTGTGCTTTTTTTAAAAAAAAATGTTCTTTTAATAGATTTTTAGAGGGAGAAGGAGAGAGAGAGAAGCATCCATGTGAGAATGAAACATCCATCCACCGGCTGCCTCCTGCACGCCCCCCACAGGGAGGGAGCCCGCAACCCGGGCCTGTGCCCTTGACCGGGAATCGAACCCTGACCTCCTGGTTCAGAGGTCCACGCTCAACCCCTGAGCCACGCCGGCCAGGCTGTTTTTCTTAACAAAAGAAAAAGGTTGCGTTTCTTTCCCTGGGAGCGTTGGGTTTCTTCCCTGTAAGACACTCGGCTGCCCACCGTGCCTTCCTGCCCGGGCGACGAAACCGCTGAATATTCAGCCAATTCTCACCCCCACGAAAACCTCTATTGTCTCGTGTTGTGGTCTGGACACCCAGCGTTCGCCATACATTTTTAATGCCGGACTAATCCTAGGATGAAAAGCTCCAAAAACATAACCTCCGGCCACGGCCACATGTCCCAGGCTGTCAGGGTGGCTGGCTTCTGCTTAGGGCCTGGGGAGAGCGGCTCACTTATTCGCCGACGACCTGGCCCCAGACTCCACCCAGCGCCGGGACCGGGGGAGGGAGGCTGTCTGGACGGCGTCTGAAACGAATCGGCTTCCATTCTGCACGGTTTTGCTAAAACTAAAAAACGATGGCCCGTGGCGATCTGATGCGCGTCCATCGAGTCCGGGTGAAAATCTTTTTTTTTTTTTTTTCGAAGGAAAGGACACCCCCAGCTATTTTTGCAGCCACTTGGGCCAGCGTGGCTTAGGAGCAGGACGGTGCTCTAAGAGCAGACAGTCACAGGTTAATCTAGAAGTGGGTCGTTGGATACTTTGTTGCCATCGGCAGCTTGGGGTTCTGTAAAGAGCAACAATGTAACCAGCACAAGAGACGCCGATCCTCTTAGTAGAAACACGGACACGCCTTCGAGGGACATGAAGTGTCCGGTGTGTGTGGCAACAATTAGGCAGCCTCCCCCGTCCACCGAAGGGAGAGATTTTTTTTTTTTTTTATGAAAAACACACGTGGAGGAAACAATTCATGAATAATGGGGACAGGGCTTTTTTGGGAATCGTTGAGGACTAATGTAGTAAGAACAGAAACGCACATACTACTTCTGGTCCATTGCCCATATTTCTAAATAGTTGTCAATCTGGGGAGTGCTAATAGCTTACATCTTTATTTTTTTTTTAATTCTTTTATTTATGGGTTGGTTTTTAGAGAGAGAGGAAGAGAAAGAGAGAGAAACATTGATTTGTAATTCCACTTATTTACGCATTGATTGTTGGATTCTTTTTTCTTTTGTAAATATATTTTCATTGATTTCAGAGAGGGAGAAGGAGAGAGAGAGAGAGAGAGAGAGAGGCATCAATGATGAACGAGAATCATTGATCGGCTGCCTCCTGCAGGCCCCACACCAGGGACCAAGCCTGCAACCGGGGCACGTGCCCTTGACCGGGAATCAAACCCGGGACCCGTCAGTCCGCAGGCCGGCGCTCTACCCACTGAGCCACACCGGCCGGGGCTCCTGTGGTGGATGCCTGTCTGTGCCCCACCAGGCAGCAGCCTGCGAGGTGACGGGCCCACAAACCTTGACCCTTTGGGACGATGCCGGGGGCCCTAACCACTTCCGCCTTCACTCACACCCGACTCCCTCTCCTCCAGCGGTCAGGGCCGACCGAATGCGCGGCGGACGGAATAAATTCGGGCCCATGTACAAGCGGGACCGCGCCCTGAAGCAGCAGAAGAAGGCCCTCATCCGCGCCAACGGACTGAAGCTGGAGGCCATGTCCCAGGTGATCCAGGCGATGCCGCCCGAGCTGAGCATCACCTCCGCCATCCAGAACATGCACTCAGCCTCCAAGGGCCTCCCCCTGAGCCACGCCGCCCTGCCGCCCACGGACTACGACCGCAGCCCCTTCGTCACCTCCCCCATCAGCATGGCCATGCCCCCGCCGCACGGCGGCAGCCTGCAAGGCTACCCGCCCTACGGCCCCTTCCCCAGCCGGGCCATCAAGTCCGAGTACCCCGACCCCTACACCAGCTCGCCCGAGTCCCTCATGGGCTACCCCTACCTGGACGGGTACCAGACCGGCTCCCCGGCCAGCGTCCCGCACCTGATCCTGGAACTGCTCAAGTGCGAGCCCGACGAGCCGCAGGTGCAGGCCAGGATCATGGCCTACCTGCAGCAGGAGCAGGCCGCCCGGGGCAAGGCCGAGAAGCTGAGCACCTTCGGGCTCATGTGCAAGATGGCCGACCAGACGCTCTTCTCCATCGTCGAGTGGGCCCGGAGCAGCGTCTTCTTCCGGGAGCTCAAGGTACGTCCGTCCGTCCGTCCGTCCGCGCTCACCGCTCACCGCTCCTTCCCGGAGCCGCGGCCCTCCCGCCATGGGCGCAGCCCTGCCGCCCGGTTCTGTTCCGGTTCTGTCTTATCGCCGCCTGTTCTGTGCGGGGCACGGAGTGGGGGGTGGGGGGGCTTCTCTTCGCCCCGGCTCCCCATTGGTGGGGATGGCGTTTAAGGCCAAGCATAGGAACAGGGGTTCGTCTTTATTCAGGATCCTCTCTAACTCAGAGGGTTGGTGGCTGGACGCGGGCGGTCGACTGGAACGGTGCCTGGTCAACTTTTCAAAAGAGAGTGGCCAAGTCGAGCGCTCTCTTACAATAGGACCAGTTCCAAATTGGGGGTGGGGGGGAGGGGAGGGGAGGGGGGGGGAGCCAACATCCGTGCTGTTTAGACCCGAAAGAATGCAGATGCCGTGCGGGCTGGAAGGGCCCAGGCGGTATTTATGGCCTGTTTACCTGGACTCGGGGCTGGAGAGGACTTTGCTTTTGGAGCGAACGCCACGGGGAGGTTGGCCGTGTTTGCCGGGGGGAGGGGAGGGGGGTTTGGGGGGGCAGCCGCGAGGGCCCGTCCACTTGGCTGGCGCTCCGGGCCTCCCAGCCTCTGTCTGCGCTGAGGCTAATGGATTGCTACATTGTAAACACCGGGCCTGTTTGCCTAAGGATCTCGGTGTAACGACGTAATTATTTTATTTCCTGCGGCTGAAGCCGGGGCTCACGGGGGAGCGTTCTGTGGGCCGGGGCCACCCAGCCCCTCTCGGCTTCCTTCTGGGGTTTTAACACAAAAGCGTGTCCTGGCTGCGGTGGCCGAGGGTGTCTGTGACACAAACGTCGCCTTCCTTTCGCCGGCCTGGGCGGGGGCGCGCTAGTCACCTGGGACGTGGGGGGCGGGATTTTCACACCCACGAGGGGACCCCAGAAAGCAGACTTCCGTGAAAGGGTTTTTTCTGTTAGAAATGGTCCGTGGAGAAGGACGAGGGGCCCCGAGGGCCACACGCCGGGAAAAGGTGTTTCCACGTCAGCCCCACGCCGCTCTGGACTTGGTGCGTGGAAACGGACGTTGTCTGGCCCCGGCCGGTGCGGCTCAGTGGATAGAGCGTCGGCCCACGGACGGAGGGGTCCCGGGTTCGATTCCAGCCAAGGGCGCGGACCTCGGTTGCAGGCTCGATGCCTGGCCCTGGGTGGGGTGCGTGCGGGGGGCCACCCGTCGACGTGTCTCGCTCACACCGATGTCTTTCTCTCTCTCTGTCTCTCCCCGTCCCTTCCGCTCTCTCTACAAATCGGTGGGAACATATCCTCGGGGGCGGGGTAACAAAACGAAACAAAGAAAAGAAACCGGGGTTGTCTGAGGGGATCCAAATAGGCCGATGGAGCGCCGGCGTGTGTGGCCGGTGGTTGAGACCCTCGTGCCCCCGGCTCTCGGCCCTCCAGGCCTCTCTCGCTAATTTAGAGGCGGCCGGCGGTGGGGCGTGGAGCGAGCGGCACAGGGCACGGGGCACGGGGCACAGTTAGCACCCGCAGGCCAGGGGTGTTCGCCCATCGGGCCTCAGGGGGTGCTTTCCTTGCCAACAGCACCCGCCTGGGGTCCTCACGGGGACACCTTCGCCTTTAGGAGGACAGGTGAGGCCTCTGACGGTGAAAAGGGAAATGACAGTTTCAGATGCAGAGAAAGGCCAGGGAGTGGGCCGGAGGGGCTGGCCCAACTCCGGGCCCCGCCGGCCTGGATTGGAATTGCATCTTGGCCGCTCGATGCTCGATGCCCATGGGCCTGGGCGGGGGCGTCGGTCTCTCTGGAAGATGCGGTTTTTTTCATCTGTAGAATCTCGGATATGGACCCAGGATCAAACCCTGACCTCCTGGTGCCTCGGTCGATGCTCGGCCACTGAGCCACGCCAGCCGAGCCACAAAAATACACTCGCCGCCAGGAAAAGCCATGCCCGCGGCCTCTGTCCCCAGCCGGACGCTGAGGAACAATGTTGCAGGTGCTGCGGGGGGTGTAACTATATAACAAACACTCGCTGCTCCTGCTCTGAGCACCGCTGGGCCGCCCGGCAGGGAGAGGGGCGCTGGGCAGGGAGAGGGGCCGCCCGGCAGGGAGAGGGGCCGCCGGGCAGGGAGAGGGGCCGCCCGGCAGGGAGAGGGGCCGCCAGGCAGGGAGAGGGCGTAAGATGAACGTGGAGTTGAGTAAGACGAAGTATTTCCTCTCACGGATGGTCTGAGAAGACAGTTTCGTAAATAACTATATATTTTTTTAAAAAGATAAAGATGCTGAAACTGTATTTCACAAATCTGCAGGGGAAAGAAACCTTGCCTCTGGATTTTCTGTTTAAAAAGGGGATGTGAGAAAGGACAGGTCCACGGAGCCGCAGGTGGGGGCGGTGGGAATGCGGGGAGCACCCTCTTTCTCTGCAACGTTCTCTCTCCGCCTCCCCGTCGCTGAATCCTCCGAGATCCTTTTATAGGGCACGCGGGTTAATCTTTGGCTAAAGCGTAAACACCTTTGGGAAGGACGTAGTCAAGCCTCATTCATCATCGGTGCCCTTGTGGGGTGCCTGGATCTGTCTTCCGTGGGATTCGAAAAGGCTAAGGCTGCCGGGTTCGATTCCGGTCAAGGGCGCAGGCCCGGGTGGCGGGCTCGATCCCCACTGGGGGGCGTGCAGGGGGCAGCCGATCCGTGATTCTCTCTCATCGTGGATGTTTCTCTCTCCGCCTCTCCCTCTCCCTTCCTCTCTGAAAGCAATAAAAATATAAAATTAAAATAAATGAGTAATAAATAAATAAAAGGCCAAGGTAAAGCCAGCCATTGGCGGCTCCTGGGGGAGGGGGGGAGAGCAGGCAAGGAAGGTGACCTTGAGCTTGTTCCCATTGGCTCTCCTTGAAAGAAGGGACTCCGTGGGGCCTTTTCTCAGAGGAGGACACGGAGAATTCGGAACAGCTTAGGGTTAAATATAGAGCGAGGGGGTGGCTTTCCCGCTCGGAGGAATTCCTTTTCCTTTTGTTTATAAAGTGACTTTGTCAGAAAGCAGAGCGAGGCCTTCGAGGCCGGGTCCTTCCCCGCGGCCGGGCCTTTAGGGGCGGTTGTACTGGGACCTGCGGGGGGAACAGGATTTTGCACCAGAACTTGGGGAACCGGGGACGGTTCGTCTCTCTCTCTCTCTCTCTCTCTCTCTCTCTCTCTCTCTTTCAAACAGTTTCCCAGGACATGACCTTCTCCTCCCTGTTATGCACTCGGACACTTGCCATTATATTCTGCTAGAGCCGCGGTTCTCAACCTGTGGGTCGCGACCCCTTTGGGGGTCGAACGACCCTTTCACAGGGGTCGCCTAAGACCATCGGAAAACACATCTATAATTACATATTGTTTTTGTGATTAATCACTATGCTTTCATTATGTTTAATCTGTAACAATGAGAATACA